GACCTCTCACGTACGTAGACCTGCCTGAATGTAAGCATGTCAGAATATTGTCTTGTGCGCAAACCCACAAGCGACTGCCACACGCACCAGTTTTGAATCCCCAAGTAACTTTATGGGCATTCAAGTATCCTGCCAATAGAAGACTTCTACCACATGTGTCAGTTATGTTGTTCAATGCCCGGGTTTTATGTATACCTGACGGGAAGTAAGCATTGACTAGAGAAAAGTCCTGACCAGTTGTAAGTGGTATGTTGATAATTAATACTTCACATTCTGGGAAGAGCAGTTTCAATGTAAGTTTTGCTTATGACAGATTCTACTTGATATCATTATAACTAGGCGCCCATCTCTTGAAAGGTGGTGTAACCTAAACAAGTAAAAATTACTGTCTGGATGAAGCCAAGATTGTTGTAATAAAAATGAATCAAGATTTACATGAACACTAAATGTATATAATACAGTAATAGCAGAAAATATCGAGCGACAGTTCTACTGTAAGACTTTCAGGGATGCTATTTTGGTGAGAGGTTTGCTGCAGAGGTAACACTTTCCAATACACTATCCGTGAGCACTTTACTAAGCGGAGCCTTCTTTGCCTTGGACTCGGGGAAAAGGGGCTAGCACGCTTCAACGGTGACCAGCTGCGTTTTTGAGCCCGGGCTTCGAGATCCACATCTGTGGCCGCCTAAGCATAGCCCGTATTCCTGTGAAAAGGTGGAATTACACATTGGGGAGTCACTGATGGTAGCGGCTGCATTCACCAAATCTTTACCAACTGAAACATCGACAGTTGCATACAGCAGTTCAGGAAACTCGGGAGAGTGTGTTGAAGGGGGCACTCGAAGCTGAGCAAATCAATTGCTGACAACTTGAGCTATGATGCTATCCACTAAATACTGCATTATCCTTGCCATAGCTTTTTCTACTGCTGCCTCAACAGCCTGCGCAATAGACGTCTCCGAAAACGTTTGGCGGGCTGTAATGCCAGCCTAACCATGAGCCATGAGAACAGTTGTAATGGCTTCCCTGCAAGAACATTACCGCTTGTCTACAGTTTCTAACACCTGATTTTCTTGCTCTCTAATTGGGCAATCTGCATTGTCACCGGCATGATTTCTACCATTCAGGCAACAAAAGTTACCTTAGACTGCGCAGTTTCCATCGGAGTGTGCTTCACTACATTTGCAACACCGCACATAGTATTTGTGACTACCTGCACTATGTCCAAACCTCCAACAGTTACGGCATTGTAATGGACGTGAAGGTAGTTTATTCACTCTGAATACTAAGGGCCACGTTTTGATTTCGAATGCACATGGTGTACCAGCAAAAGTTGCAGTCACTGACTCCGTGGGGACTCGCTCGTTGTCTACAACTCGATTGCATCTGTAGACAGCCACCACGCCGGCCACAGAAATCTTCTTAGGAGTTTAAGCAAGGCTTAGATGTGCATCGACTCCTCTCAAAATGCCTTTAGTACAGACCAGATATGGTGGTATGTATGCACTCACCGGTATTGATGCAAATAACGAATACTTTAGAACATCTTTTACACATACCTGACAAGCTGATTGAACCTCGTGTCAACGTCACCTTATTAACTTCCTTACGCACAATTGATGTAGTGCAAAAAACGAATACAATTTCCTTATACACTATCTCGCTATTGGAGACAACTTACATTTCAACGAAGAGATATGCACAGATTTTGGGCTAGAATAAAACAAAAGTGGGAGCTGTCACAATTCCCACACGATGAATTTGCATAAATGCGTTCAGAAACCACTCAACCCCGGTGTTCTATATTTAGGAGACGAAAATTGTCAATTCCAGCGGGCAATGTTTTAGTGTTAGAGAAGTCCCACACTGCAAGTAGAAAGTTAAACTTGTTAGAAACGAGACGAAAATGTGAGCGCTACCGATATAGCAGCTAATTCATATCATCAAATATTTCGTTGCTACGAGTGTCGTCTTCTTCATCTTACATTATCTTGCTTTCTGCTTTGTCGAGTTTCGAAGAAGGCAATGACAAAAAACTACCACTTTTGTTTTTTCAAGTATTCCGAGGATACCTCAGACACTTCTTTCGATTTCTGAGCTAATGTTGTCCTAATTGGCAGTAATATTTGTTCATGTCCTTTTTTACGACAACAAAAAAAAAGAAAGGGCTAATGGAGTACGCGAGGTAACGTGTGTGCCTTTTGTGGTTGCCTTCAAAACACACAGTAGTAGTGATAATCAATTTTTCGGACAACTCATGGCAATGCACGCTTATTCCAGGCAGTTTACGGTGATAATATATACTGTATTGTAAAGCCTTTATACAAAGCCACTGTTTTGGCAAAGCACGAGGTATTTCACCTTCATTTCAAAATAGAGGAATGACAGCATAGTAAAATACATGCTTGCCACGCAGAAAGCCTGGGTGCGACCCTTATTTGGAGACAGAAATTTTTAATAAATATTGTAGTTACATCTTTCTTCATTTTTTTATCATGGA